AAAAAACAACTTGTTTTTACTCAAAAACTCTGTGAAAAATTCAGTACATATAAACATTTTTGTATTCAACTATGCTGCAACTACTAAATTATAAAATGATAACTTTTAAAAGTTTTGTTATACTATTTTCTGAAAAAAAAATTTTAGTTTTTTGCTAATTTTTTCTATTTTCAGTTACTTTTTTGCATCAAAAAAACCTACCGGCNTTGCATCAAAAAAACCTACCGGCACATTATGGGCCGCTAAAAGTTTTTTGCTCGTCCTCGTTCTTCTGTTGTCAAAATTTCTAGTTTTGCAACTACGCAACAACATGCTTCAGAGAGCATCTTCACGCAACGTTCCGACGGCAAACTCAATGCCTCACCCTTTAGAGCATCAGGCATCGGATGGAGCTCACCGAGCTCACCGCAGCTCGCATCACTGCCCAGAACAGGATTTGCTAGGCGACAGAATTTTAAACAAAAATGTCCGCCCTTTGCAACGGCGCCAAATGAGCATTTTTGCTATTAATAAAAACAGCAGCAGGGAGAGCCCCCAATCGCGCTCACAAAGGCAAAACAACAACACTGTGGCCTCGGGTGCTCAACGGCAAGTTGCACCGGAAGCTTCGCTCAAGGTTGAACCTTTACAACGCGGTGAATCGAGCGACATTATGCAAATATTGTCGACAATTTATTTGTCTTCAGAAACTGCCGTTTCGCTCATTGTGGCAACTCCGCCGATAGTGCCTGCTGAACTCCTTCGGCAAAACGGAGCTAGCAAAGAACAAATAGAGGCGGTGGGGCAGGAAATTGCAAGAAGCGCACATCGCCGTGTTATTTCAATCTTGGTCGGGCGTCTTGGCTTTGAAACTGAGATTATAGAAGCCTGCCAATGAAACGGTGAGCAAAAAACGTAAACAAGGCTCAAGTCAAAAAACTTCCTTGTGACAACAGGTGCAGTAACTGCGATAACCCCGTCACCAACTTTAACTTGATTATCTTAAATATCTTTTTTGCATGCAAAATTTATACAGATTTTTAGACATTGTAAACCGTTCTGCAGCGATGATTAATTAATTAATTAATGATGATTAAAAAAGTAAAACCCTAAAGTTTCGTTAACCTTTAAGTTATTTTAAAAATTTCGCTTTCCAAAAAGCGTTGCACGTTTTTCGGTAAAAATCATTGCCGACCATGTGAAAACCGGCACCTTCACGGCTCAGCGACATGAATCTAGTGAGCTGGTACTGCTGATTGATCGCCTCAGTCCACTGAACTTTGGATCCATTCGACAAAGAGGGAAGAGCACTGGGACTTCCAGTTCGGGCAAAGGCCGTCCAGGCGGCAATCATGTCATCGCTGAGCTGTTTGTCTACAGGTCGGCTGAGAAAATTGGCAAAGAACAGGTAGATAACATCTTCGCCGTGGGTGACGCCCTCAAAGGGCAGGTAGTGAAGGCCGGGCAGCACCTGATGCTGCTCTAGTCGATAAGAATAAAATTTGGTGCTAGTGTCGTTTTTGTCGCCGGCAACTTTTTTTGCCGTCGCCAGACATTCGCCAAAAAGGACAGTCGTACAGGTGAGAATACTATCTCCCAGTGGATTGGCGAGGGCCACCCTCAGCTGATCCTGGCTGACATTGGCAGAGTGCTTCAACTCGGCCAGGTAGTAATCGGCCACCTCTTCGCCGTACTCAACGCCGAACTTCTTCAGCGCCTTGACTAGTTCCTTTCTGACCAGCTCCAGCGTCAGCTTGGTGTTGTTAGAGAGCACCGCAGGGAAGGAAGAGACCGCAATATGACTTCCCTCATTGGCATTGACGCCATAAATCACCGCCTTCAGGTGATTGAAGGCGCCCACCTTGAGGGCCTCTGCTGGAGAAAGAGGTAGCACTTCATTGCCGCCGTAGACGGGAACGAAAAAGTCATTGTTGACAATCATCTTGAGGGTAGCGTTGATAAAGTCGGCCATTGGTTTCTGTTTTAAGCAGGCAACTGAAGAGGTTTTCGGTTCTGCCGGGCAGCCAATGGCAGTGGCAAAGGTGGCCCGCTTCCTGTCAGCCACCGTCTGGTTGTCGGCGCCGAAGAAGGCCAGTGGCCCACCTGACTGCATGATGGCCTGCGAGAAGAGTCCTCGAGCGAGTGGCGAGAGGATCAACTGGCCGACGTTCATTGAACCGCTGGACTCGCCAAAAATGGTCACCTGCTTTGGATTGCCCCCAAAGGCGGCGATGTTCTCCTGAATCCACTTTAGAGCAAAAATTTGATCAAGTAGCTGGAGGTTGGCTGGAATGCCCGTGCCGGTAAGCAGGCCAAGTGCACCCAAGCGGTCTGAAAAATTGAAAATGTTTTTTAAACAAAGTTTTAAAAATTGCTGCATCAACTTACACTGAATGGCCACCGCAATAACGTCTCCACCATCAGCCAGAAATTGCCCACCACCTGAAACAAAAATTGATCCAGCAAGATAGGTTCCACCTGAAAAGATCAAAAGTCAAAAAGTTAAGTTTGTTTTGAGACAAAAATACAACTATCGTACCGTGAATGAAAACCATGACTGGCTTAAGATCAGCACTGGCTGAA